TTATTTTCAGATTTTAAATGTTTGCATAGCAAATTAAACAATTTTAGCTTGAGGGAAAATGAAACTTTCTTTATAGTTCTCTCTCTCTCTCTCTCTCTCTCTCTCTCTCTCTCTCTCTCTCTCTCTCTCTCTGTGTGTGTGTGTGTTTTGTGTGTATGTATTCATATTCACACACGAATGATCACTATTATATATACAGAAATACACTCTTAAAGAGAATACAGCACACTGAAATATACATTTGTGTAGATATGTCCTTTTTAGTCATTTTGGATGTATATGTCTTTTTTTTCAAGCACCACACAAGTAAACTTTATACACATTGCAAGGTATGTCCAATTTATGATATAAGACCAGCACAGACCATGTGTTCAATGTATTTATCTTAGAAGAAGTCTTCCAAAATATCTCAGAAAAGCATAGGTTGAAAATCATTAAGAAAAGAGAATTGATTAGTAATTCTGTTGGGCAGTGAGGTTATTTCATGTAGCAGATTTGGGAGAGCACTATGACCACCACCAAAAAAAAAAAGCAGCACAGGCTTTCTACTGGTAGGGCTAAGAAGAACCTTTCATGGCATTCTGCCTCAAGTTCTAAAATATGTTATCCCTCTGGATAAGATACATCTTGATTTCATGTGCTTCAGTTGACTTAACTGCTCTGCATGAAGCTCTGGAAATACAGCTCCTCCAATAATAACTGCTTTTAGGCCAGGCATTCTCTGTTCTAGCTCCTAGGTCAGTGGTGGCGAACCTATGGCATGGGTGCCAGAGGCAGCACTCTAAGCCCTCTCTGTGGGCACACATGCTGTTGCCCCAGCCTTGCCTCCCCCCACGACCCCCTCTTCTCCGGCAGCCCCCCTGAAGGAGAGTCGCCCTCGAGGGTGGCCTACATGGAGCAGCGCAGCCAAGGACATGGCAGCCAGGCAGTGTAGACAAGACTCTGCCCTCACACCCCATCATGCACAGTTGATGCTGCAGGGTGCGGACAGAGGGTGTAGCCACCATAGCGCTGCTGGGCTGCCTGGGCGATCTGCGGCGGGCCCTGGAGGCGGTAAGTGGTCCTGTGGGCAGGCGGGGTGGGAGATGGGGGGCAGAGCAGGGGCAGGGCAGGGGGTGGAGCAGGGGCGGGACCAGTTTTTGGGCACTCAGTCTCTAAAAGGTTCGCCATCACTGTCCTAGGTTAATGAAAACTAAAGGTTCTCTATTGGTTTTCATAAACCTAGCTGGCTGTCATCAGCCAAGACAGATCCATGCATATATTTTGTCTTTTTAAGATTCTGATCCTGACTGGTAAGAGAGAGAATGTCCATCATAAATCATGTCAGACAAAGCACCCTACTTTTACATATTAATATATTGCAGGGAACTAGTCTGGAATTAGTTCATCACATCATCTCTTGGAAATTAGTTTAATCTTGAGGAAAAGTAGACTTATCCAAGACAACTTCTTGGCTGAACAGAAAATCTCCATTCAAACAGATTAACATCAATTTTTTGTGGTCTGTTCTTCTCCACCATTGCAGGCCTTGAAAAAAAAATTCATATCAAATATCCAGACATCTTTAACAGAGGATGAATAGAACTACTGCTACAAAAAATATCTTTAAGAACATAGAAAAGCACAGTTTGACATTGCGGTGAGACAGGTGCAGGAAGACAGGGCTCCGTCTTTCACTTTTGATTTTGCCCCACTGGGGACCCTGGAAAGGATCAAAAGTCACCCTGTAGAGGTGACAATTAAGGAGGGGACCCTTGTTGATTGCGGGAGGGTGGTGGCCCTTCTGTTTGATCTGAGGAAGCCCTCCAAACCAGCAGGGGAAAGACTGGCTACATTCGTGTAGCCAGTCAGAAGCTGCTGACAATGGAAGAAAATAAGCACCAACAAGCAACTTTTCAGCAACATGGATGAAACTGGGTGAGACCCTATCCTCTCTTTATGACTCTAAGACTTTTTCCTGGGAAAAATTGCCCAAAGCACCCTCCCCGATGAGAGAGGGAAGGGGAATTTCCACCCCATTCCCTCAGGAAAAGAAAAGTGGTGAACTAATTAATTACCTGGGGGAAACAGAGAAAATTACAAGATTAATTTGGAATTAATATACTTATATTAAAATTTGGGGACTAAAAGTGCTTTTGAAACTTTTATTTAAAAAAAAGATTTGAAAAGCTTGTAATATAAGTTTGGATTTTAAAAGCTGGAAAACTGCGCTAATGACATCTAGTGGTGAATTATGGCACTACAATTTGTTATGCTTTTTGGGCTGCTTATCGGTGTGGCAGAGACAATGAACTATTTTGAAACTGGCCTGCCTGAATTATGAGTATAAATATTAACTGACTTTCAGAGCTGCGTTGTGGAACTATTTCCCTGCAGGAGAAACACACATTATTGTTTGAAATGATGGAATATTTTGGATTACAAATCTTTGATTGATGAACAATTTTTATTATAAAGACCACCTATAAAAAATGAAATGGATGGCCCATGCTCAGCTTTAAATGATAAAAAACCATCTCTAATATCTGTCCCCAAGAAATATCACTAAGAAAATATGGATGAAGATCTGAAAGAAATTCTCTCTATGTTAAAATCAATACAAGAGACTATTGCTTTAGCTTGTGATGAGACTAGAAATAACGCAGATAAAAGAACAATTTTCTAATTAAATCTACAAACCCAGAAAATGACTACAAAGAAGGAACTAGTCACCCAGAAAATAGAAGGAAAACTAGAGGAAGCAGTTCCAAAGATGGAGGACCTAAAGGAAGGAACTAACCAACAGATTCAGACAACTGAAGAACTAGAAGACGGAGTGATAATATCGAAAATGGAAAAGACATCTTACCAAACAAGAATTCAGAACACATTTGAGGAAAAGGAAGAAGAACTGATTGAATAGAAGATAGAGCTGTTAGGAGAACTGTGGAGAATTTGAGAAGGAGGGAGCTGTTTAATGAATATCAATGGATTCATTTTTCCAAAAATACTTTAATCAAATGGTCTTTCTTAGTTCAAACAATATAAACAAAAACAGAGGAAAAAATACTTGATGATTCAAATGCATTAACTTGGAAAGTTAGTTGGCAAAGGAAGAAAGCTATAGTAAGACTGAAGAAAATAGAGATTTTGATCCATCAGATGGGATATTATATTATTAACTAGATGTTTGAATATGGTGGAGAATAAATAATTGATAGAAATAGAAGTATTATCATAACTAGAAAGATAAGATTTGTAATTAGAATATTAGATTTTGGTATGAGAAGGGAAACAGGAAAATTCTAAGAAGTTTGAATAAGGGAAGCTTTTGGTTACCCAAATATAACTTACTTTGAAATTATAAACAATGGAGACATTTTGAACACTGATGGGAAATTAAAATTAAAAAAAAAAAGCAAAAATAGGATACTGGTGCAAATGCAATTAAGATATGTTTTGGTTAGAAAAGTTATCTAAACTGACATTAATGATATTATGGGAAAAATGTACATATTCAATTGTATATTTATTAATAACAATAAGAATTGTATTTGCCTAGTGTGGGAAAACAGGTACTACTAGAAGAAGAGAGGAAACATGTGACAGTGTAATATTGGATCTAGACTGAAGAAGTTAATATATACCACTGAATTACTAATGGACCCAGACAACACATTATTTATTAAGCATTTGACTGTAAAACTAGACAATTAATAAAATATTTATATTAAAAAAAGAACATAGAAAAGCCCTTGTGAAAGCTAGGTGAGATGCCTGGAAAAGGTCTTGCCCAGTTATCTGGGAAAAGTTTGATTCTGTTGGACTTGATGAAGTGGACAGGATCCTCGATGCTGTCAATGCAACCACCTACCTATTAGATCCCTCTCCTTCCTGTCTGAAAAAGCCTCCAAGAGGGAAGTTGGTAGAAAAGGTGGTTGCTTGGTCCTGGATGAAACAGATTATGTTGACCTCTTCCAGTCAAGATTCAGGCTCAGTTATGGTATGGAAGTGACATTGATCACATTGATCACACATGATATCTGGTAAGAGAGGGAATGGAGGTAATGCAACCATCCTTGCTCTCCCAGCAGCCTTCAGTACCATCAGTACCATTATATCCTTTTAGCCAATTGTAATTTTGGAGCTGGGTGGCTCATTCTTGCACTGGTTTGGCTTTTTTCTACAAGGCCAGTCCCAATTGGTGCTGACATTGAGTAAGAGATCCACTACTACCTTTGGGGTTTTTTTTGTCATAGTTGTTCTATTTCTATTTGTAGACCTTTGTATTTGTTATCTATCTCCAGGTTGTCTCCAGGTACTGCCATATCCACTATCTAGATTTTTTTGTCTTTTTTATCGACAGTTATTAAGTCTGGGATATTATGTGGCAGATGCCTGTCTGTCTGAATTCTAAAACCCCAGAGAATTTTAGCTTCTTCATTATTGTTCTAATGCTTTACTGGCTTTTGTAGGTTGTCCAGAGTCACTTCTAGGAAAGATGGGCAGCACACAAATCAAATAAATAAATAAGTAAATAATGAAAAAAAAACTACTTCCAATTTTGTAAGGATGAAATAGTCAATAAGGGCTAAATGGTCTATAAAACTCCACCTCACGTTCTTTTTTCTCATCTGTCCCTCTCTGTTCTAACCAATAGGCCAAGTGACTAGAATCCATTGATTCCATATCCTGATTTGAGGCTCTTTCACATCATCAGCTCTTCTACTTCCCAGTTCTTCAAGAGCAGTTTGAATATTTGTGATTGCCTTTCTTGTATTGGGATTTAGTGCCAATTATTAATAATATTATTACAGGTATTAATATGCTGCCACCTATTTATATTCTATATGAAATTGATGATATTATAAGTTAAAATTACACTCTTAATGGAGGAAGTAGTCTTAATTTGAAGGGATCCTATGAATTTTTAATTAGTAACATGATATTTAATAAAGATATATGTAAATTTATTAATTTGTACAGATCATATATTGTTGATAACAGGTCATCTCTGAAATTTACATATAAATGTATTTGTACTTTAGGCTCTCTAAATCAATATCTCCAAAGATAAAGGTAATGCTTTTTTTAGCATGTTCCTCATTTGAGGACCCATGAACAGCATTGTGCATAATATCAGTTGCAAATTTAGCACGTACTGAATTAGGATGTGTTTCTTTTGCTTTCATTGGATCTGTTGGTCCCATTAATTGTCGCCATTCCTCCACAGCATTTTCTTTAGTTAGAACCATGACCATTGATGGGCCTCTAGAAAAGCAATACAACCAACAATTTATGAGATGCTCACAATCTGATTTTGCAATGAAAACATTAAGTTGACATAACTAATGCTGCATGCTGCATGAGATAAAGAAATCAAGTCCATTTGGGATACACTGTCTATTTGACTATTTCACATTGTCAGAGGTTGATGTTACAGAAGTCAAGGCTTAAGAAACATACATTATGTAACAGTATATGACTTCTTTAATAGTCCATCTCTGCTTGCATTTGTGCTTTGCTGTATGTCAGTCTGCCTGTTCTCCACGTATATAAAAACCTATTATATCATGTCATATCATGTGCTAGAAATAGAAGTGCCATTTTTGCTGACTTTCCTTCCCTCTGAACATTCAATTATATGAAGATGCTCCATAGATAAAAGAAGTTCCCTGTTTCTGTTCTTCAAAAGAGAATGTTGGATAGCATTCTTCAAAAAGTTATTGTGGCCAGAGCAAAACCAAAACTGCTCACATCACATCACATCATGCAATTAAAGTTAATACAATTTATCTTCAGTAATGTTCTCTTTTTGTCACATAACAAAAATTCCAGTTGGGCAATTGGATTTGGAAATCTCTGCACCAAAACTATTTGAAGGCAAGCAAGTAATGTGGACTGCTACAGCTGACAAAATGTTGGTGCTGGGATCTACAGAGATGCCAAAGACATGACAGAAATCAGAGAATACTGTCAAAAATATCCAGAGCTTTTGATCATCTTACAAAACTTTCATGATACTAGAACTTGGTATTTGCTATAAAGTAGAAGAATATCCTACAGGGCAGAAGCACCTAAGACTTATCAACCAGATTCTGGTTTTCATGATTCTAGGAAAGAAGTATCTACAAAATTAAAAAGTGAATTTCTGGATAGAGCTGAAATCAGACATTTCTATATTGCCTATAATTGTTACTTACTGAACAGTACTGAGAATAAAACATGAAAAACATTGTCCCACCCAGCTGCCACAAGTTCTGTAAAAACAAATATCCCCTCCCCAAGAAAGAGAAAAAGAATCAGACACCTGATGGTTTGTATATGGCTCCTTCCCCTACTGAAAATGTCACCAATTTCATGCTTGTTTACTTTTGCTGGGCAATTAAGTAGGCGATGCAATAGTGTCAAGCCTGAATTCTGATTGGCAGTTGAACTCAGGCCCTGAGAGGCAGGATAAAACAAGAGTTTTCGTTGAGGGAGAAATGACCTCTTTCCCAAGTTCCATAAAATTTTATTGTTTATATTACATTATAATTGAATCAGAAGTTAATCTGCTCAACTGTTGAAAAGATGACAAAATGGAATCAAAGGAGAGTGAAGACAGTCCACCTGCAAATACAGTTGTTGGAAGTACCCAAAAATTAATGACTTCACTTGGTGGACACAAAAATTATTGTTATCAAAGAAGCTTATTAATAGGCATTCTTGTTTTGTTCGCTCCCTTTTCACTTGTTTCTTTTTTTGGTTTAACACTGCTTTTGTAGAATGTGTTTGCAAATTGCATCTGAGAAAGTGGGCAGGGCTCTTGCAGCTGCTAGTTCAGCCATGTTTGATCTGTGTGTCCCTCCTGGCTGATTAAGGATGCCCAGAAGGGGACATGTGATTGGGGAGTGGTTTCATAGATTTTCAAGGAGATGGTGGCGTGCCCTCTCCTGAAGGGGGTATTGATCAACCGAAGTCTGGAGAGCTTTCATCCAGTCTCCAACTTCCCCTTTTGGGGGAAAGTTGTGGAAAAGGTGGTCACATGGAAACTGCAGAAGATCCTGAATGAAGTGTGAACCTCTGGACTCTTTTCAATCAGGGTTCAGATCAGATTATGGAGCTGAGATGACATTGATTTCCCTCTTTGATAACTTCTAGTGGAAGTGAGAGTGGGGAGTGCAATCATCTTTGCACTTCTTGACCTCTCAGTAGCCTTTGATGCCACCAATCATGGTATGCTCTTGGATTAGCTTTGGGAGTTAGGGATGAGCAGTACTGTGTCACACTGTTCTCCTCCTTCCCCTGCATAATAGTTTCCTCCAGACGTGGTTCCAGTCGGTGTTGATATGGAGTTCATGGTCCCTACCTGTGGAATGCCCCAGGACTTAATTCTCTCTCTTCTCCTATTTAACATCTACACTAGATGACTGAGTGAGATGATCCAACGGTTTTGGGATGAGATATCATCAACATGTTGATGAAATCTATTTGTATATCTTCAGCCCAGGCCACCTGAGTGATGTTGTGGCTGTCTTGCCCCAGTGCCTGGAGAGGACAGGGGGATGCAATGGGTGCAATGGCTTTCATCTCAACCCAAGCAAAACTGAATGTTTTGGGGTATTTGGGCCTCCCAATGACAAAGTTTTTCTGCTGCTGGTCTTGGATGGCGGGGGCACTGCTCCAAGTGGTTTTGGGAGTCCTCTTGGACACACAGCTTCCACTAGAAAAACAAGTGGCAGCTGTGATCAGGAAGGCCTTTAAACACCTTAGGGTTTTGTGCCAGTTGCACCAGTTTCTGGATCAGGAGGCTCTGATTATAGTCATTCATGCCCCTGTGATTTCTCATTTGGATTATTGCACTGTGCTCTGTATTGGGCTGCCCTCAAAGAGCATTTGGAAGCTTCAAATAGTGCAGAATGTGGCTGAGTAGTAGTCAATGGTGTCAGATATTTGATATATTTTATACCACTGCTACATGAGCTGCACTGGCTGCTAGTGTACCTTCAGGTACAAATCAAGACCACTGGTTATCACCTTCGAAAGCCTTCATGGCTTGGAGTTGTGTTACCTAAGAACTATCTTTTCCTAGTTTTTCTACTTGTCCAATTTGATCTGGCAAATTGAGCATGCTACAAGTCCTATCAGCCAAGGCTAGGAGAAATGCATTCTTTGCCATAGCCCTCTGCCCTCTAGAACAGTGGTGGCGAACCTATGGCACAGGTGCCAGAGGTGGCACTTGGAGCCCTCTCTGTGGGCACATGTGCCGTTGCCCAGCCTTGCCTCCCCCATGACCCCCTCCTCTCCAGCAGTCCCCCTGAAGGAGAGTCACCCTCGAGAGTGGCCTACATGGAGCAGCACAGCCAAGGACATGGCAGCCAGGCAGCGTAGACAAGACTGTGCCCTCACACTCCATCATGCACAGTTGATGCTGCAGGGCGCGGGCAGAGGGCATGACCACCATGGCGCTGCTGGGCTACCTGGGCGATCTGCAGCGGGCCCTGGAGGCGGTGAGTGGTCCTGTGGGCAGGTGGGGTGGGGGATGGGGGGCAGAGCAGGGGCGGGACCAGTTTTTGGGCACTCGGTCTCTAAAAGGTTCACCATCACTGCTCTAGAACATTCAAAAGTATACAATATATTTGTAGTCTTCATAATTAATTAATAATAAATAATAATAATACTATTACTAACAACAATAATAAAGAACATTAATAATCTTCAGAGATTAAGATAATCCCTAAGATGCTGTCTTTTCATAAGATCATGAAGACTGGATTATATTTCTAGCCTGTTTCTAGATTACTGTATACTAGCATCCATGGCAATATATATTTATAGTTTTTATTGTTTTTATGATGCACACTGCCAGAATTACTTATTGAGATGGGTGACGATCAAGTAAATAAAATAAAAATAGAAGGAGAAAGAAGGCTTCTGTATGGATAGCAGTAAAATTAGTAGAACCTACTGGCCTAAAACATGTTCTATTTTGTAAATAAAAATGGTTAAAAAAAAGAGATGGACTTTAATTCTGAATTTGCCATGGTGTTATTTTACTAGAGGACTGAAAAGAGACTAGGTGTATCATGGCTTCACCAGGATGGCACTTTGGAGTTAAAAACAATCATGAATCAATACAAACTGGGAGTAAGGGTCAAAGAACTACGTGAAAACATATCAGAATTCTATCAGTTCTTATTGAACAAATAAGAAATCAAGGGGAATGGGCATTTTCTTATACTATACTGGGAAGAAGCCAGTGGCCAGGCTTAGTGAATGTAGCCAGCCTACAGGAAGAATATTGCTTTTTTCTCTCAGAGAACTCTGAGTTACTTAGCTATCTATATTCTGTGGGGCAGGAGATCAGCTGCATGGATATAATTAGATGTGGGGGAGATCAGCAATTTTTGACAAGGTATGTAGTTGCCCAATACTTAAAAATATACATCTGGCATTCAGAGTTTGATTTTTCCTGCTTTGGTTTCGATTGTTACTCTGGAAAAATTGTAATTTTTTTCAGTCATGATTAAATATGATTAAGGGTAATATGATTAAGGAAACATATGTCACTGGAAATGACATAGCAGAGAGAACTTATGATGATTAAAAGGTGCTTTTGAAACCAAAGCATTGGTTTATTTTCAACGTTTTCCTTGAAGGACTTCATCACAGACTTTCCATTTGTTCAAGAGTTTACCGTAATTCATCAATTCAATGTGCTGATTGTTTAAAATCTAGTAGCCTTTTGATCATCTACTAACAGAGGGATAAAATCAAGATCATGCAAAGTGTTAGTACCACTTTATAATCCCTTGATAACACTACACTTGGAATATTGCCTCCAGTTTTGGTCACCATGAAATCGAAAAGATGTTGAAACTTTAGAAAGAGGACAGTGAAGAGCAATAAAGATGATTGGAGGTACTGGAGACTAAGATACGAAGAACAATTGCAAGAATTGGGTATGTTTAATGAAAAGAAGAACTAGGGGTGATATGATAGCAGCATTCAATATCTAAGAGGCTGCCAGAAAGAAGAGGGAGTTCTCCAAAGCACCTGAGGGCAGGACAAGAAGCAATGGATGGAAACTAATCAAGGAAAAAAGCAACCTAGAAATAAGGACAAATTTCCTAACAGAACAATTAATCAGTGGGAATGGCTTGCCTTCAGAAATTGTGGGTGCTTTATCACTGAAGGTTTTAAGAAGAGTTTGAACAACCATTTGTCTGAAATGGTATAGGGTCTCCTGCTTGAAGAGGGGGTTTGGACTAGAAGATCTCCAAGGTCCTTCCAACTCTGTTATTCTGTTAAAATGATGCAAAAGAAATCAACTGTTTCTTTGATATCTTAATGCCAGACTGGCAAAAAAAAATTGTCTTGACAAATTTAAAGTCAGTGCTTTCATCAAATTTTGTTTTTTTGTTTTTTGTTTGTTTTAAAAAAAAAACTGGCACTTACTTTGACATATAATCCACTAGTTGATTATAATATGGCTTATCTTCATGATCTTGATAAAATTGTGCTGCTATTTCAGGACTTATGTGTGCTTCTCTCAATTCTGAGATTAGAAATCCAGCATCTTTTACTTCATTTATAATTTTATCTAAAAGAAGAGGGGGACATCAACATTTCATTATTTCAATCTTAAAAGCGTTGTATAGTATAGTATTGAACTATGAAATATGTTCAAATGTGTAAAAACTGACAAAAAGAAACTTTATTTTTCTGCTACTTGCAGAATTTCTCTGTTTATCTGAAAGTGTTATTCCCAAATGATGGTGTGAAATGAGATCTTTTACATTTATGAATAAGGAAAAAATCTGTTACAAAATAATTGGCAGATGAACATTACAGTACTACAGACTTGGGTGCTGAAAATATGTTAACAGAAGCATCCATTGAGGGTTTGTGTGTGTAAAAAACTTAAGATGGCAATCAGAATGGTGTAATTGAAGCCCTGAACCTTTAATATGAAGCTACCATATTGAGGTTTTAAGAACTCCCCCGCAGATGCTTCTGCTTGGTGGTTAGCATTCTGCATGAGAGTGGCTACTTGCCTAGTTAATGTTAATCCTGTACAGTTAGTTTGTGACTTAAAACTGTAGCTGAGCCTGAAAATATAGCCATAAATTGTCCCAGTCAAGGGGTCACCATGTGACCTTACACAATTTTATGATCTTTTTTGCTGTAATTGTTAAGTGAATGCTGGGGTCACTTAGTGAATGCCACTGTTGTTCAGTGAAAACTGCAATTGTTAAGCAAACACATTTTACTCAATGGATGGTTTTTTACTATGGGACACAGCAATGGATATAATTGTGAGTTGGTTGCCAAGTGCCCAAAATGCAATCACATGAACACAGGGGTAGGAGCAATTGTTGGAATTTCAAAACTTGGCTGGAGGTAGCTTTGGGGAAGTCCATCACAACTTGAAATGGTCAGTGTGACATGTCATAAATCGAGGACTACCTATAATGCCTAAGCAAGGCTTCAGTGTCTTTTGTTTTTGTCTTTTTGATCTGTCTAATTGCCTCTTCCCTTTGCTTTTTAGGCACCCACTTTTCTCCCATTTTATTTTTCCTTCTAGCCTCCTCTTCCTCTGTCTGTTGTCTTCGTTTTCTTACTGTTGCTGATAAGTAGAGTGAGGAGAATATGTTTATGTACATTACTGTGTGAGGAAGAGATTTGTTGATATATGCAGATGGGGATGAAATAATTTTATAATGGTATAACTTATTTTACAGGCAATTAATTTAAGTGCACAGAGAAAAATATGAACACCTCATAATATTAATCTTACCTTTCTCTTCAAAAGCAGAGGGTTTAATGAGAGCCATAGTGTTTTGTACAGGAAAGAAGAATTGTAATTCCTTTGTAGCTTCATTCATGTTTGCGCTGCCATGCAGCTGATTGATTGGAGAATCATGGACTGCAAACTCAGCACGTAAACTGGAACAATGAAGTCAGAAAATTAAAAAAGACAAAGAATTTGTTTTCTGAGGTTTTCTGAGGTTTTCGCGGGTGTTTGTATGTAGGTCTTTAGTTATTCGGGTTTTCTCCCACATAGAATTAGAAGTGTCTTGGCGACGTTTCGACGAAGTCACATTCGTCATCTTCAGGCTGGTGTCTTCAGCTTCGTGCTTCTGGGAGTAGTGTGTGTGATCGCAGCTGTTTCTTCCTTTTAACTGCCAGTGGGGTTTGAGCTGATTGGGTGGGAGCTTGGCTGTGTTCTGATTGGGTGGAGGGGTGTTCTGATTGGTTAAGGAGCTTGGCTGTGCTCTGATTGGATGGGGGGTTGGCTGTGTTCTGATTGGCTGGAGGAGTGTTCTGTTTGGGTGGGGGCTTTGT